GAGGGCAACCTGGTTTCCAATTCAAGCAACTTGGTGGGTAGAAGTACCATTTCCTAAGATGGAAGAACAAGCAGAGAGGAGGAGCAAATCGAGAATGACATTTTAGCTACCTCAAGTTGGAGATATCTATGAGATACTCAAGAGGAGATGCCAAGTCAAATTTGCTATAAACTTGGAAGAGGGGTTTGAGACAGAGATATCAATTTGGAAATTATAATCATTGGGTTATCTTTAAGGCCATGAAACAAAGATTAGATCATTAAGGGAAGGGAATATAGAGAGGCTAAGTCCCACAACAGAGCCCAGAGAAACTCCAGTTTGGGGGAATGAGGTAGAGAGTGGCCAAAGAGGAGAAAAATCAAGAAACTGTAATCCCACAGAAATCCTGAAAGGGACTGTTTAAGGAATGTGGGTAGGAATGGTTAAGGAATGTTTAGCATGGCTATGGGTATGTTTAGAATGTGGGTAGGAATGTTAAGGAATGTTTAAGTAATGTGGGTAGCTGCTGAAGGATCAAGAAAACCAAGAATAGAAAGTGACTAATGGTTTTAACCACGTGGTGGTCATTGTGGGCCATAATTGGAGCAAGGGCGCCAAACTGGAAAAATAAGAGGTGCTGGTCAGAGTATGGAAATCTTAAGATTTTTCAATCTTGAGATTTTGGAAGTGATGTGTATTTTCATTGAGAAAGGTCTAGGATCCTTGGCATGGTCCTGAGAGTAAGTGGATGAGGCAGGGTTGATGGCAAATCATTGGAAATGTAAAAGCTAAGAAACAGAAATGTTTGGGTCTTCAATGGCAAAACTGTCAAAGATTTGGGGTGAAGAGAAAGTGTAATAAAACTGTGGTTACCAAGCAGTCTTTTTTTTTTTTTTTTTTTTTTTTTTTTTTGAGATGGAGTCTTGCTCTGTCACCAAGGCTGGAGTACAGTGGCCTCACAATTCTTCTGCCTCGGCCTCCCAAGGAGCTGGGATTATAGGTGCCTGCCACCAGGCCCTGCTAATTTTTGTATTTTTAGTAGAGACAGAGTTTCATCATATTGGTCAGGCTGGTCTCGAACTCCTGACCTCGTACTCTGCCCACCTCAGCCTCCCAAAGTGCTGGGATTACAGACGTGAGCCACCACAGCCAGCCTAAACAGTCTTAATCATGCTGATGATCACAATTTGTAGTGAACTTAGACAACCAATTTTGAATATTTCTATCTGCTTCATTTAGTGGCAAGGAAAAAGTAATATAATGCAGTTCAACCAGAGTTGGGGTTTTGCCTAGTGGATATGATAGACAGCTAAGAGGAGAAAGGGAGTGGAGTGACTTTAACAGCGAGTAGATATTGGTTTCCTATTGCTGCTGTAACAAATTACCACGAACTTTGTTGCTTAAAATACAGATTTATAATATTAGAATTTCAGAGGTCAGAAGTGTCATTGAGCTGAAATCAAGGGGTAGGCAGAGCTGTATTCTTTCTGGAGATTCTAGGGGAGAGTTTGTTGAACTTTTCCAGCTTCTAGAGCCTGCCCACATTCACTGGCTTATAATTCCCTTCCCCCATCTTTAAAGCCAGCAACATCAGGCCAAGTCTTTCTCATGCTGTCATACCTTTGTTTCCCTCTTCTAACTCCCTCTCCCACTTTTAAGGACCCTTGTGATTGTATTGGGCCTATCTGGCTAATCCAGAATAATCTTCCTATCCTACAGTCAATTGATTAGCAACACTAATTTCATCTGCAACCTTAATTCCCCTCTGCCAGGTAAGCTAACAAATTCACAGGGTTCTGGGGATTAGGACACAGGCATCCTTGAGGAAGCCAGCATTCTGCCTGTGATAATAACAACACATCACGGAGGGAATTTAAACTGGATAAGGAGGCAAATGAAGAAGACGGTAGGAAGGCAGAGTGAAAAAGTAGTTAGGTCAGCAGATTGGGGAAATAATCTGATGGGATTGAAACACTATAGCCGTAGAGAAGAAATTTTCTAAATGGTGCCATTTCTGGTGATGGAAAAGGCTAGTGTAGGATCATGGGGGTAAGTATCTGATGTAAGGCTGTAAAAAAGATCAAGTGGAATTCCCGGATGTGGTATGAATCATCCCTGTGGTTGTTAAAATCACCAAGAATGATGAGCAAACTTCAGTGTAGGAAGGAAAACTGAGCATGCAATGAAAGGCATAAACCCCACAAGCTAGGTGAGCCTGTAAGTGAAAGGAGCCTGTGGTGGTACAGACTTGCCCAGAAACAGGGCTCAGTGGGGCTGCAATTCCTGCTCATCAGGAAGGATGGAGCCTTGACATGCAACTCTGTTCCCAGGGGCTGAGCTCAAGGTCACAGAGCCTGTGCAGTAACCCCTTGGGATGTGGGAGTCAAGGTCAAATTCCAAGAGAGACCAGCATTCCAGACTGTCCCCTGCTCTTCCCGTGGCTTCCACAATCAGCAGGAAGTTCTCAAGGACGGTGGGCTCTACCCCGCCTGGAGGGAGATGGCACTCCTGCGCTGGTGTTTCTCTTTGGTGAGCACCTGCAGCCTGCTGTGGCCCTGACCCAGTAAACTAGGAAGCCAGCAAGGGACCAAGTCACTCCCTGTATGTAGGGGGTGGGTTCAGGGTCTCCCCTGAGGGGTGAGATCCCTCATCGTTCCCAGCCTCACAGCAGAATCACACTAGACCAAAAGAGCAGAAACCTCACGCAAGGCCGAGGAGACGATCCCAAGAAAGAAAGGAAGAGGTGATACCAAGGCCCTTTGTAGACAGTCAAGCCCTTGTCAGGTAAAAGAGAAACACTGTTCATGGTGATAGTGAATCCAAAGCCCTTTGCTTCATTCAGCAAACGTTTACTAAACACTGACCTGGTGCAAAGCCCTGTGGCAGCCACCGTGGGTGTTACAAACGAAGCAGGCCTGGACCTTCCCCCTAAAGGGCCTGTGCTTTCTCAGAGGAGCTAAACCATGTCTACACATATCACTGTCATTCAGGATGGCCTCTGGCGATGGTGGTGGGGGCAAATATAGAAAAGTAGGTGGTGAGTTTTGAGCCAGGCTGTGAAGGAGCTGTTTGGGCTGGTCTTCCAGGGGTGTTCCCTGTCATCCCAACATTAAGTGGAAACCTCTGTGGAATATTGTGGCTTTAGGTCTCTCCCTCTGTCCCACCCTGACCCTGATGGTGGCTCTGCAAATGGAAAGGACTTGGCCACTTCTGTTGGCTCTTAGAGGGAAGTGGAATGGGGAAAGAGAACACCTTTCCCTAAAAAACCTGAAGTCCTGGGTTGTGCCAACTACCTGGCTTGGCAAAGATCAGATGTCATGGGTGGGATAGTTGGAGATAAAGGAAAGGCAGCAACTACACACCAGAGATAAGGGAGCGTGACAACCTGGATCGGTCTGCATCTACAGGCAGCAGGCTCAGGCAGATAGCCAAGGCTATAGAGATTGTTCCATGGACTTCTGGCTCATGTACTTGCCATGAAGAGAGCCCCAGTGTGGGAGCTGAGAGAACAGTGTCCCTCAGTTTCACTTCAGGTAGTTTCACTTTACTTATTGAAAGCACACCTGCTCAACTTTTTCCTTTCTCCTTTATTTGCCGGTGCTAACCAGTTCCCCCTCACAGGGACTTGGAAACAACTGACGAGATACCTTACTGCCAATACAACAGAACCATCTCCCCCAGGATCTGCCTCACTCCTTGACAACAACTTATTCCATAGCAAGCACAGTGCCCAGTCCTACCTCCCTGCAGAAAGCAGCAGCTACTGTTGTGCACTTCTTTGCCTTAGAAACTTCAAGATTGACAGCAGTCATCACATTGCATTTCACACTCACTGACAAGCGGACAAGGCAACTGAAGAGGAAATGATTGAGTATAAACTGGAGTCTCAGCAAATATATCGGAACATTGACACTCTATGCAGCCGGGAGGGCTCAGCTTCCAGAGATCTTAGCTAACCTCCACCCCAAAGAGGGGTAAAGGAATGATGGGGAAAGAGGCACTAGGATGTAAACCATGATCAGTCTGCTTTGGATTTCATCAGCCAAACAAGCAAGAGGTACAAATGACGGTTGTAAGGAGGCATGGCATTGGTACATGGAAGGCACTCAATAAATTTGGTAAATGAATAAATAAATTGTTTAATGAATAAAGTTGATCACTTTAGGCAGGAGGCAAAGAAGATCGGAGGGCACTGACCAGGCAAATACAGAAAAGAATGGTGGTACAAAGAAGATTACGTGTTCCTATGGAAGGCAGGAAACCTACTTAGTGATAGTAATTATATAATAGCCTTGATATTGCTTCTGGGCCTTGGAGAACCTAAAATGTTTCCCCTCTGCCCTTTACAGAATAACTTTCCCCAACCCAGAGTGCCTCCACATTGGACCACTATAGTGTTGCTAATCATCGTAAAATTAAAAGGGCAGACTTGTGTGGGCCTAAAGGGTAGCTCGGGACACTAAAGCCTCAAAGAACAGGTAGAGTTCTGAATTCTGAGTTGTCCTAAAGCTTAAGTGCCTGGATCATTCATTGGATGCAGAGCATGTCAATCTGAAGTTTTCAGCAAATGAGCTTAGAGCTCACTGAAAAAGCCGAGAGGCCATCGTAGACACTTCCGGTTCCGCCCCCTGTCGCCTGCCTACCGGAATCTTTCCCGCCTTGTCTAAGTCCTCTCAGGCCAGAGCATGTCAATCTGAAGTTTTCAGCAAATGAGCTTAGTGCTCACTGAAAAAGCTGAGAGCCCCTCATAGACACTTCCGGTTCCGCCCCCTGCCGCCTGCCTACTGGACTCTTTCCCTCCCTAAGTCCTCTCAGGCCAGCCTTGGCGGGAGGCTTCTTGGGATTGGCTCCCTGCCGTTCCCACCTTAGGGTGTCCTCAGAGACAGACTTCTATTTCCTCAATAAGGAGACAGACTTGTATTCCCTCAGCAGCCAGCCTCTTGCCTCCCCTCAGCCACAGCCACCATCTTCACCGTGGTCACCTCAGCCTGGTCGCCACTCCAGTTGAGGCGCTGACCGTCATGTCTGCCACAGGGGATCCAGACCCAATCCAAGGGGACCAGGAGACCCCGGTGAGCCAGGAGGGAGTGCAAGTTGAGGTGGCCGGAGCTGGTAACCAGGAGGGTAGCGATTCCGGCCCCAACAGTGGCGACATGGTGCCCACACCTGAGGCTGAGGCGGCCGGAGCTGGTGACGGGGAGGGTGGTGACTCCGGCCCCAAC